TGGGGCGGTCGTGGGTGTAGAGCGTGTAGAGGAAGGGACTAAGCAGGCTTCCTTGTGGTACGCCTGAGGATTGGTAGTCTTGTTGATTGTTCATTGTTTACTTTAACTACGAAAGTTCTGTCGCTTAAATATGAGCGTAGTATTGGGAAGTAGTGTGACGGGAAAAGTGTTTTGTTTTGAAGAGTAAACCTGCATGCCAGACCTTGTGGAAAGCCTGGGCTATGTCTAGGAACACTGCAGTACAGTACTGGTTTTTGTTCAGTGCTTGGCATATGGTATTGGCGATGCGATGGCTTTGTTGACTGGTTGAGCGCGCTCTGCGGAAACCGAACTGATGGTCTGGGGTCCAGCTTATTGGATTTGAGTCTTGGTTGATTTTGTTGAGAAGTAGTTTTTCAAGGAGTTTTGCTATTATTGGTAAGAGGCTTATTGGTCGGTATGAGGAGACGTCGGTTGGGTTTTCCCAGGTTTTAATATCATTATGATTTGGGATGTTTTGAGCGGGAGGGGGCAGTAGTTTAATCGGAGAATATTGTTGAGTAGGTATAGGAGCACCTACTTCTCAGCATGAATGTGCGACCGTTCCAGTATTTAGTAGTACGCACGTAGGCTGAATATACTAGCAGTGCCTGCCGAAACTACGGATGAATGCTATGGACTCCATTACCGTGTCTTGGCACTCACAGGAATCACGCACGCTTACCGCAGTGTGTTCTGTTAAGCTGCGGTTGCAACTCACGCACCACACGGTACGGGAGCGGAGGGAAAGGCATTTGTTTGCGGTCAGTTTGCACTGCTACTAGCCTCACAGAGGCGGTTGCATTCCTGTCATGTTCTATTTACTAACCGCGAACAGTTGTAGCTCTACTCACGACTTTCGGACTTACGGTCTCATTAAATTAACATCCACTGGATGTACGTTCTGAATTTTCAGACTTACAGCCATGTTGCACTGCTCTCACGGATCGAATCGTAACTCCTAATGACCCGTGGCAAAATATTAATTTAATTCGTTTTTAATATTGTCACGTATCCTGGTAACGCGACAAATAATTAATGAGTTCCGGATTTGATGAATCGATTTACTGAATATTCACCAGGCGGAACTACAAATAGTTGTAACACAACCTGAACTGTGCCTATAACACTTCATAACTAAGAACAACGATAACACTCTAAAAGTTACTGTAACTACACCACATAAATGGGGCACGCGGTAGCGTAGTTGGCTGAGGCACTTTGCTACAAGCCTGAAGGTCGCGGCTTCGAGTCCCGATGAGGTCATTGGATTTTCCAATTTTCCTAGTCTTTCCAGCTGCATTATGGCCTTGGGGCCGACACAGCCTCTAACAGAAATCAGTACAAGGAATATTCCAGGGGGGTAAACGGCGCCGGGCACGTAAGGCTGACGAACTTACCGCCATCTGTGAGCGAATTGTCTGGAAAATGTGGGAGCCTCGACGTCTCACAACCCTATGTACCTCCACGGCCTGTTACAGTGATAGCTTTTTTATCTTTTACTCCATGTAAAATAAAGTCTTCACTCCTCACTACTTCTGACTTCTGTTTATCTTCTGTCCTTTCTGTCTCCTGGACTCTCCTCCCCTGTAATCTCTAGCAATCTTCTAGTAATCCTCTTAAGGTAGCTCTTGGCGTACAGAATAGAGGACACCGAGTCGAACAGTCGATTTCTCTGTTGTCTTGAAAGCGTCCTTTCCGATGCTGTGAGAACAATGTTTACCTAGCCGTTGTAACGGAAACCTATTTTTGTATGCGTTGCCTAGGAATAGTTCCTCTGTTGTCGTGATTATTGAGACCTCCGCTACTAAATAACCGAAGTTCTACTGTTGACCGCATTACATGGGGTTTTATAGTTCCATATCTTATTGCTTTGAGCAACACGTCACATTGCTCCCTCTTTAAGGCCGTTCGTCCCGAATAGCCGAACGGCATATCACCTCCCCTTTCTTCCGAGGGCTGTGTTTGCAACGTCTGTGATCGGTCTCACCTGCCTTCCCGTGGCTCGGGTTCTTTGTCTTGCGGTGTTCCTTCTACCGCTATCACCGCTCCCTCCTTAAGTACGCTCGTCCTGAGCGGCACCCTGATAAGGTTACGGTCAATTCAGGTGTCAAAATGTGAACCTTTTTCTGTCCGTTTCCTTTCTCACTATGGGAGCGAAAGTATCCAGAGTCCTCAGTGCTCCTATATCTCCGGCTTTTCTTATGACAATTATGCGAGTAGGCTCTTCAACCGTTTTGGAGGTGGTCGACCTTTCCACAGCGTCCAGCTCTTCATTTTTCGTAATGCGACAGAAGATCCGGCTGTTCGCTTCGCGTTCTCCAGTCTGAAGTCTTACCGTTCTTCCTGACCTGTGCACTTTTGCCACGCGTGAGGAACCACTTCCTCACCTCTCTTCATCTCTTCTCATGTGTAACTTTACTTTCTTCGGTTGGGTGCCAGTAAGCAAAATTGTGGTTGCTTACGATAATTAAGGTTTAAGTTAGGAAAGAGAGGTAAAGTTTATGTGGGACTAGCTATGGTGATGCTAGGGCTTAGATTCTTCCTCAGGGCGCTTCAAAGGGCCTCGGCTGAGGTGGGGGGAAGTGCTGAACTCGGCGCTACACACTCATCACTTAAACACTAAGAATATTTATTCATATGATTCATAGGCTTGGTTCGAACACACATATAATACACTTTGCTATAAACACTTCATTTCCCTTAGCAAGGTTACGTAAGCTGTTGTGTATAACAGTTTACCCTAGACCTCCTGAACGTGTGTAAATTTAGACACTCCAAATATGAACCGCAAGGGAGCAAGTTTTGCGTCTAAAACTTGCAAGAGCTGACAGACCACTCAACTCCGAGACTGATCTCTCCCCAAATCATGAGATCCTTTGTTTGTCAGTTCTTCTGCTATGGAACTCCCCTAAATTCTACTGATTGGATTGTGGGAGTTTACTACAGCTTCTTAATCCCCAGTTAGCTAAATGAAGTATGGGAATTTGGCCCTTAAAATTGTAACGTCGCTATTGACGCTCGGTAATGGATACTGCGCTTAGCGTGGGTCTCCAGCACACCCCTTTCAAGTTTAGATGTGCAGAAGCTGTCCCATACCCTATTCTCAAAGTTAGCAGAAATTTCTCTTACAAGCGCAATTTCCAGGAAAAGCAACGGGGGTTCTTATTGTGAAACAGCAAGACTGGGAATAAGTCGTTTCCTGTGAGCAAGGATGTAACTATGTCCCACTGCCTTTGCCTACTACCTGTTGCTGGTAAAGAAACTCTGTACTAATAATTCTAATTATTCCTAATCCTAGTGCACGGCAGAAGTGCGGTTACTGTAGGTCATCCCGAAGATCCTCCCAGATGTCTTCTCGCTGCTCAGACATACTGTAGTTGCGTCTCTATGCCTCGGATCCTTATTTTGTTTACGTTTTCCGGTTTCTGCCGGTATTTCTTCCCGAACGTCCATCCTTTAGGAGCTCCCGTTCCGATCTTTCCTGATGTTTCTCCTGAGCCATGCCACTCCTGCATAGCGGGTCATCCTCCTGCCGGCAACGGCCACAGTATCCCCGTGCCGTTTCCTTCGGCTTCTGGCGGCGCTCCGCGGCCACATTCTGGTCCCTACGCCGCTTTCCCCGTCCGTCGACAGGTTTCACTACGGCATCTACCTTAGGGACATCATGCACCGCTATATATTCCGTGTCCACGGAGGTTGGCTCCTCGCATGCCCGAAGTAAAACCGAAATCTTACGTCCAGCTTCCTGCATTTCCCTGCCTGTTGGCTCCGGCGGTTCCTACATTCTCCAGTAGAGTGAGCGCGAATTATGCCCCGACTAGTCGGTAGGGGATAATGGTTGCTTTAGGAACCGGGGCGGGAAGAAATCATCTGGAGTTGGATGCTAAACTTGAACACAGCGGGCTGTACCTTTTCTGATTTATATAGAAAACGCTGTTTTTACTTCTCAATTGTTACAAAACTTCAAAATTATTCCTGCGCTACACTAAAACTTCATAACAGTTCCACAACACCTTCCCACTTCCAGGCTCGGGGCCAAAATTCGCTCCTCCTTTCCAATCAAGACCCTTTTACAATCGTGTAACCCTCCAAGGCATGGCCCCCACATCGGTCACCATTTGGTTTGGGTTTACGGCTGGACGCTGACAGTTGGGATTTGTTCAGTACACTTCACTTGTCGGAAGTGACGTTTATCTTTAAACGTTTTCCCCAGTTGTAAAATCTCACATCTACAGTAAAAGAGAGCCTTATTTCCTTTGATATCACATCCTGTTGGATTCAGTTCCTTCCATGGCCACTAGATCATAAGTGTATGTATCCGAGAAAAACTTTATCGTTACAAGCATAATGAGGGACATAACAACATGGCTACAAAACGTAACCAAGCCTCGGGTAGGTCTTTCATTTTCATGGGAACCACAGATTTATCATAAATAATAATAAATACTTTCAGACGAGAACTGTACGATTGAAGTCTAAAACAGCTTTTACTAGTGTCCACAACTGCTTCCTCACTAATGTTTACATATAGTTACTAGCGACTAAGCCTTTAAAGACGGAATTTTGCCTAGATATATACAAATCAGTTAATACCTCACAGGAAACACACTACGTCTCCGCTACAAAGATTAACCGGTTAATGATGATTAGGGAAACAATAACTGTTTATTGTGAGATCCATAAAACACATACACTCACTTTTAGTAGGCTATAGCTAGTGGTACATGTAGTAACCATCAGGCTTTGAAGAGTTAAGAACAGGCCTTATTCATGATATAGGGGATTCGATCTGCTTACTTCGAATAATAGGCAGCCTATGGAAACAAAAGATTCGGTAAACCCACCTGGTAGGTTCTTTTTAGAAAGGGGGAGGGAGGGAGAGACAGGCCAATTATGAGTAACTCGAGAGACAATGTAACAGAGAGGGAGAACGGGCCACTCCTCCGAAAGAGATAGGATAGAAGATGATGCCATGCGCAGCGGTCACCTCTAGCGAGTGTCCCAGCATTCCTCTTTCACCGCACCAACCCAAAGAAGTCGACAGAGAGCTTTCGTCTGCTAGTGCATTAAGAACGTAGACTTCTGAATGAGTGGCGACAGCGAGACTATCGAAAGAATGCGATGTAATACCACATGGAATCACATCTTGCCTCGTTAATTCCACAATAAATGAAGCATCGCGTGTGACACGACAAAGAGACGTGTTATTTCTGACGGTGACATGTCTGGTTCTTCAGTTCATTAGCTGCTTGTGACGCAATGTTTCGTTTCATACGTATCAAACAAGACCTTGTAATATCAAACAGTTCTCACTGAATTCAGAAGTGCCAGGAAACATATTACGTCACACTACAAAGTGTATGTGGAGTGATAACTGGACAGTACATCATCAGGTGGCTGACAGAGTCTTCAAGCAATTTCACCTATATACCACAGGTGACCACCACTCCATTGCCTACTAGAAGAAAGTCGGTCAAACCGAACGGTTCGAATACCAGAAGATACCAGCGCCAGAAGCTCACCGTGCACGCAGAAGACAAGATAGTATGTGGTGATAACTCGTGTTTTTAGAAAGTCTGCCTGTGTAGAAAACATTCATGTTAAATCCTCAGTGATGGTGTTAGCAGTTCACTTCACCAAAGAAAAGAACAAAAAGTTAACTAACAGCACACGGCGTCCTTGAACAGCGACAAGTATGAGAGTATATAATTAAAAACATACCACAACATTCTAACAAGAAAGAGTTCTACATCGGTCAAAAAAAATTGTTTTCACAAGCGCTGGTTGCTTTTCAGTGTGTTAAATGTATCGCGTGTGAGTGTAGCAAACAAATATATCGTTGAGTGACTAGGAATGTGATATCAGGGCAACATATCGTGTGTGTTCGCATCAGCATTTCAATACTAAATCCAGTGGTGATTATTTTAACAATGTAATGTTCACATTAATGTTAGTGGCAGGCGCAGTCAGTGGTCACACAGGGCGTTTAGGCAGTATGCACGATTCTAATGAGGCTGCATTCTTTAAATCGTGACTTGACAATAAAATCGTAACGTCCTATGAATGAAAAGTGCTAGTTTGTCTGCATATCAGTATCAACTCATTATCATACACCAAATGAGCACAGTTAATCAGCATTATAATGAAATCATCAAATTAACCTAAAAATACGTGTCTCCAAGACAGTTATGAGGGTTTTTAATATTATTAAATGTAACATTTACTAAAAAAACTTAAAGAGCATAAGAAATCGATAACATTTTCAAAACTTTCTCAGATTCTTCAACTTCAATTGCCCACCGCTTCATTCACTGCTCCATGAAGAATTCCGTTTCAACATTGCTGCAGTTAACAGAACTATTACCGCAGTCACAACATAAAGGCAACAGTTCATATTAAAGACAATGGATGACCAAACAGCGCTGGCTCTCGCGTTGCAACTCATTGCTTTATGCTGCATTGCAGCAGCGCTTCTGCTATACTTGCTCTGTAGGATAAGAAACCGTTATACTGCGGGCACCGGTCGTGGTAGAGATGACCCAGAGGTGAATCTGAATATTGGCACGGGGCGAGCAGTCCTCATTACCTCTTGTGACACAGCGTTCGGCCTGCAGTGTGCACTCCATCTCAGCAACCTGGGCTTCCGGGTGTTTGCCGGCCTCAAGGATGACACTGAGAATGGATCAGTGGCTGCAAGGATCCTGCGGGCCAAACTCAAGGAGAGGGAAATGCTGAACGGAGACACGGCGACAGAAACGACTGCGGCGTCTGGGGTAACCGTCGGGACGCTCATAACACTACCACTGGACGTTACAAGGGAAGATTTGCTCCACGAGGCGGTTGTACTAATCAGACAACATCTTCCAGCTGGGGAGGATGGTAAGTGAAAGAACTGGCTACTCAGATTAAATACAATGAAACAATTTGTATAAAGTTCCTCTTAAGGTACATGATTTACAGAAAGAAAAGTATAAAACCTCTGAAAAGTACTGCACTTAGAACAACTGGTTTGGTGATAACATGTTATGCGGGTATAAAGCTCTATAGTCTATTATAATCGGCCAACTGTTGTCATGAGCTACGTAGATCGGCCCTGCACGGAAACGTAAAGCATTTAGAACCACCAGCCTGGCGATAACAATATGTGATGCGGGTAACAAGCTCTCTAGTGTATTATAATCGGCCAGCTGTTGTCATGAGCTACGTAGATCGGCCCTGCATGGAAACGTAAAGCATTTAGAACCACCAGCCTGGCGATAACAATATGTGATGCGGGTAACAAGCTCTCTAGTCTATTATAATCGGCCAGCTGTTGTCATGAGCTACGTAGATCGGCCCTGCACGGAAACGTAAAGCATTTAGAACCACCAGCCTGGCGATAACAATATGTGATGCGGGTAACAAGCTCTCTAGTCTATTATAATCGGCCAACTGTTGGCCTGAGCTACGTAGATCGGCCCTGCATGGAAACGTACTGCATTTAGAACCACCAGTCTGGTGATAACAATATGTGATGCGGGTAACAAGCTCTCTAGTCTATTATAATCGGCCAACTGTTGTCCTGAGCTACGTAGATCGGCCCTGCATGGAAACGTAAAGCATTTAGAACCACCAGTCTGGCGATAACAATATCTGATGCGGGTAACAAGCTCTGTAGTCTACTATAATCGGCCAACTGTTGTCCTGAGCTATGTAGATGGGCCCTGCATGGAAACGTACTGCAGTTAGAACCACCAGTCTGGGGATAACAATATGTGATGCGGGTGACAAGCTCTCTAGTCTATTATAATCGGCCAACTGTTGTCCTGAGCTACGTAGATCGGCCCTGCATGGAAAGGACGTTCTCACGGCAGTAAATATTGTGACGTGTTGCGCTATGCAGGACGCTACGGTCTCGAACTGTCGCCGGAACACGCTCCACGTTGAGTTACCGTTAAATGTCTGTGGCTGGGCTGTACTCACGACGATCATTGGTGTTTCCCCTCTCGGCCCTCGTCTGTCTCGTCTCGTCCAACCGGGCCCGGAACTCGCGTTTGGCCTCTTCAGTTGCTGCGCAGGTATCGTAGTTTTTTTGTTAGGTCTTCCTGGAGTTTCGCTGTTCGCGCGCAGAGGGACACTTCAATCTTCTCGGTTAGTTCCGACTGGAGAATCCGTTTGTCGTGTTCAAAGATCGCAAAAAATGTTTTCAATTCTGTGTTGGATTGTCTCATCCAACTCTGACCGCATAGATTCCATTGCGGCCTTCCATTATCCTTGTGGTCAGCATTTTCATTTTCTTCACCCTCTTCAGTATCTGTTGGTTCTTCTTCATTGTTGTCACCTTCGGGTTCATACTGCATTTCGCTTCTTTCGGTCCCTACGCCTTTTCTTCTTCGGTTCTTCGACCGGCATTACTTCGGCGTCTTTTACGGGTACCTCTCGTCCTGCCGCCTCAGGTTTCCTGTCCACTGAGGCCGGCTCTTCTTCTGGATGGGCCTCCATTTCTCGGCAGGCCATTGTCTCTCCGACCGGTATCACTATGGGGACCTCCTCTTGTTGTTCCGCCTCAGGTTTCGTTTCCGCTGAGGCCGGCTTTTCTTCTTGACGCGCCTCCGTCGTTTCTCGGCAGGCTATCGTCTCTTCCTGCCAGGCATTCATTTTGGCTTTCAACCTCTTGGCTCGCATAGCGGCCGTCCTTGCTTCGGTGGCTCTCGTTTCTGCTCGGATTGCTTCTATTTCTGCGGCCATTTCTTCTCGCCAGGCTTTTCCTCTTTAATGGCTTTCTTCCACTTCTCGCTGTCTTCGCTCTCCATAACTCGTCATATGTATAGGTGAGCATACCATCCTTTTGACTCTCTGTGTGCTAGTCTCAGTACTTTGCGTGCAATATTATAGTTACGGTTTTCCACGATTCATATTTGCCTTGCTCTCGACCCTGAACATGGAGGAGACACGTTCCCCAGAAACGTATGTGGACTTCTAACGAACTACACTGCGTTACAATATATAATAATATAGTCTTCAACAGTTATTTTATAAACGATGATCTTTCAGCTGCACGTTTTTTTATTGCTAGTGGGGTGGGACAAAGTCCCTTGTACTGCGGCCACTTCTGGCCTATTGTACCAGCCCCAGATGATAGGTGAGGGTGATTGTGAAGCAACTGGTGGAATGAAGATTGGCAGGGGAAACCGAAGTACTCGGAGAACACCTGCCCCAGCGCCACTTTGTCCACCACAAATCCCACTTTACCAGACACGGGATCGAACCCGGACCGCCGCGGTAGGAAACCAATAATTTTACCAGACACGGGATCGAACCCGGGCCGCCGCGGTGGGAAGCCCGCGACTAACCGCTAGAGCTATGGCGCGGTCTTAGCTGCACGGTTTACTTAGCATGGAATGGAAGAGTTGTAGGGTATGGTTTTTATTGCTAGTGGGGTGGGACTAAGTCCCTTGTACTGCGGCCACTTCTAGCCTATTGTACCATAGGGTACGGTTAGTCTGATATGACATGGTCATTTTAAGGTAACTGTTATTTCATCATTTTCCTAGAGGGACAGAATAAATATACTTAGTAACGCATTATGTCGCCAGGCCAGTATTCGAAACAATGATTCCCAGAATGTAAGCCTAAATGCTCACCATTGAACTGTGACGCTGTGTACGCGATGGGATGTTGTGATGACCTACGAACACAGACTGCATTGCATTTTGAACTGGGCAATTCATTTTTTTTAAAGTTCATCTTAAACAGAGCCTTCCTCATGAAGGCTGATATGGAATGACATAAATATGAAGAAATTTTATCTGTTTTAAATTGTCATATCACTTCCAGAATCCCCTGAGTTAAGCACAAAGAGAGAAATAAACACTTACCAGGATAGCGCAGTCGGTATAGCGACTGGCTGGACGACCGAGGGTTCGGAGTTAAGAGTCCCGATAGGGTCAAGAAATTTCTCTTCTCGACGTCCAGACCGGCTCTGGGGCCCACCAAGGCTCCTATCCAATGGGTACCAGGAGTAAAGATGCCGGAGCGTGAAGACGACCACTCACCTCCAGTTAGTTCCGAGGTTAAGAAAATGTGGATCTCTACATCCATTCACCCATACTCCTTCATGGCGTAGTGCTTAATTAGTTAAGCACAGGGGCAACTTTGCTCTTTTACCTTCTCAACCCATCTCTTTAAGATTTCTGTCGTCAAGGTGTTTGGTTGCAGTATACCGACATACAGCTTCTCAACAGGCGATGTAATTACCGTCCGATTCGCATGGGAATTGTGTGAAGATTTCAGGGATATCAGCATTTTTGTTCCCTTCTGCCACCATTTGCTATCATCTTAGATGCTCATACGGCGTAAGTTAAAACCAATGCACGTTTTCAGACAAATCACATATCCCACCACTTGCATAATAATCCCAAGAAGACAATCACTACGGTAGATGTTCTGCACTTCTCACGAGTGTTCATGCTGACAAATGTGTTGTTAAGGGGCCAGAGTCACGTTACGTCACGTTACGTCACGTTTCGTCTTATTCCTGATTCACGTTCAGAAAACGTTTAATTATAAGAACACTAATTAAAATTTAGCCAGCAAGAAGCTTCTGAATGTGTGACGTCATCGAAGTGAAAGTGGCCACCACAAAACGGTCATCTAACGAACTTTCTGAAGTTTTTCGTCAGCAGTTTTTGGTGTGTTCTTAAAGTCGCTGCGAAAATGAGTAGATTGGTTTGGCCACGGGTGTCTGTTGTAACAACATCTGAACGGATCTTCATAAAATTTGACACTGGGGAGTTCTAGTGAAACTGATCGACAAGTTCCAGTCGAGCTTGACTTGCTTAATATTGTCACGTGTTACAGTGACCATAGACGGGGTTTGGTTGTGACTCGATTTATTGACCGCTTACACGCTCAACTCGTGACTACACTTTACATATCACTGTCACACACAGACTAATGTCCTCAGTCTGTTACAGTCCCCATTAGCCGTTGCCTGGTAACAGCTTCCAACGGTTGACGTTCCTCTTATTCTGGGTTCTCGAATTATCCCCGTGCCTCAGCTACCAGCTTATAATGGCAACGACTCACAATAAGTGAACCGTAGTTCTCTGACTAACTCCAAGGCTGTCAGCCACCTCACACCAACCTCCTAGTCTCTTTTCACTAACTGACTAACAACTGACTAAGCCCAAAGTCATAGTTACTTTACAACTGGCGGTTTATCGCCAATCAGTTCTTCTTGGCGCGAGCCCCTTGAGACTCACGACGCTCACGACCACATTTTTTTTTTTTCAACTGAACCCTTGCGGTCATTCTGTTTCGAGGTTGCTACCCAGCAACGGCTGTACACGCTACAATATTTATCGCAGCAATAAGTGTTTCGAACATAATACGTGGAGAGGTAATGAAACACATTTTATGTTGCATTAAACTTTTCCGTACGTGTTACGGTTTTTCTGATAATTAAATGCGCCCGAATTCTTACGCTATGCATACATTTCCTAAGTTGTTGATTCTTTTAAGGGACGTAAACTTCGTGGTCCGGGAGCTGTCATTCATGTTACGACGCACCTTTAAAATAAATTCGTCTCTCTATGACATCACATAAGAATGTGAGCACCCCAGTCTGTTCCCAATAACACAGCCGGGTAACACCGCATCTGTAGTAACATCGAAACTACATCACCAGTAAGTGCAATCATCATCATCATCATCATCATCATCAGTAATCTGTCAAGACGACAGGTCCACAGTCTCTTTCAAAATAATTCCTCCACTTAATGCGATCTAGAGCTTTCTCCTTCAAATGACAGTATCCTCTTCTGTCCCCAAGGTCATCCAGCATCTTCTTACGTCTTCTTCCTCGTCTTCTTGTCACTTCTATCCGCCCATCTATCTTT